CCTCTCTCTCTCTGACAAATAAAAAAAAAAAAAAAAAAAAAGAATTGAGGTAAAGGAAAGGGAAAGGACAGAAAATGAACAAAATATCTCATCAGAAATAAGCTTAAATACTTAATAAAAATGATGAATGTACAAATTTAAATAGCCTTTTGAAAGACATTATAGATTGAATTAAAAAATTCAGCTGTGTGCTAAATATGTTTATTTAAAACATGATATGGGGAGGTGAAAGCCAGATGGGTAAACATATAATAGCATAGTTGTCTAAACAAAATAAAGGTGCTATATCCAGATTAATATCAACCAAACTAAATTTGAAAAAAAGTATAATTGCATATCATTAAATCATAAGTGATCAGCAACAATTCACCTGGAGATAAGAGTCACAAATCTCTCTATACTTAACAAAAAAGCTGTTTAAAAATAAAACAAAATTAAGAGGATTACCAGGATTAATTGGCAGAAAGTCAGTTATAGGGAGAAATGACAGTACTCTTCTCTTAGAAAGAATAAGAACAAAAATGAACAAGAACAATGTAGGAAGGCTGGTTTTGTATGTAACACATATATCCACACATAAAAATCTAAGTTATGCTATGGTTTCAAGTAACTATGGAATGTTTATCAAAACTGATCACATATAAAGAAATAAAAATCTCAACTCATAGTAAAGAACCAACTTCATAAAGACCCCTTTCTTTAAACATAATTTAATAAAATTAGAAATCAACCATTTGTTGATGTTTGGAAATTCTTTAGTCTTCTCAGGAGGAGAGTAATCACACTACCTAGAAATAACTATCAAAATAAATTTTTAATGAGTGATTTAATTCAAAGAGGAGGGAAAGCATTCCAACTGGAGAAAGAATGAGTAAAGGCACAGGATGGAAATCAATTATGATTGAATTCTGGAAAGAGGGTAGATCATATTTGTTGGAATAAAGGTTTTACCTATGAATGTAGGAGGAAAAGATTGCAAACAACTGGACGGCTAATGACTTTGGCTTTTAATTTATAATCAGTAGATGGTGAGCAAGGTAATCATACCACCAAAGAAGTTTCTATACCAGCCATGCTTTTCTTAATGTTGAGGCTCTAGACCGTGGGAATTTTGGCCATTTCAAAAAAATTGAAACTGTGACAAATATTAGTACAATATTTATAGTGGATTACAAGCAAGACTTATAATTATCTTCTACTTATAATTTTTCACTACATGCCTTCTTATGTGGTAGATATTTTAAATTTATGGGCATAGATGTTAGTTTATTCATTTTTATATTTCTGGTGCCTAGACATAGGGTCTAATTCTTAGAAAGCACTTAAATGTTTGTTGCAGTGAATTGTCTTTAATAAATCAAATGTGTTTGTTGGCAAATTTTCAAGGGGAAAAAAGCTAAGTAAATTCTAGTTAAGCAAACCTTTGTGTTTTTACATATGATTACTACATATTTTGCATCAAATTGACAATGTGGTACATATATTGAATCATAAAGACTTGCTCTGAATTTTTGAAGAAACATCATGACTCATGCACAAACAACTTTTAACAGCATAGTGATGAAGATAAGAAGAAAGGGGAGAATAACCAGGAAAAGAATGGTGCATTTTAAATTTATGGGTGTGATTTGCTGCTATTGGTTTTAAATCATTTTAAAGAATAAAAACTGGTGAATTCTATTGCATTGTCTAGCCAGAAGATAGATATCATGTACACATTTAGTAACTTTTGATATTTTAGGAGTCACTTTTAGGACAATTTTTTTCTGCATCTGCTTTATTTCTCAGTGTGTAATGTTTGTATACAACTATTTTTCTCTTCCTCTTCCTGTTCTCCCTCCTTTTTCTTTTGTCTGAATTCTCCATCCATATGGAGATTGAGACAAATGCCATGTTGTTACTAGTCTGTCTTTTTATAAGACTCTACTTCCATGAAGGAAGGCGCTATGTCTGTCTTATTATTTCAAGGAATTGGGAAGAGTTAAATTATAGTTTATTATAAGAGGATATAACTGAGGAACAGCCAGATGGAAGAGATACATAGGGCAAGGTATGTGGGAAGAGGTACAGTTTCTGGGCTTTCTGAGTGTGACACTGCCTAAATCTCTACGTGTTTACCAGCTCAGAAGCTCCTAGAACAAACTTTAAGGAAATTAAATCATCTTTGGAAAAGGCGCAATTCCATTATTGCTGGCGTGCTACTTTGCAAGTAGGCCTAATTGGGTTCAAGGTTAGATGATTTTAGAATTGTGTTTAAAATAATTAGTTTAATACTAAATAAGACTTTTGAATTTGTGCACTTTAAAAAAATATGTTTTCTGATGTTCACTGCATGTTACTGGCACTGAGTAGTTGTGGCAGTCTATACTTACAGCATCTAGCTTCCTATGCTCTGCATTGCTGGCCTTTCAAAGGCAATGTTGTATTTCCTAAAACTAATCTCTTCAAAAATAGTAACTTGAAGTTCTCATTGACTAACTGGTAGTTCTTAAAATTAGGCTTTTCAGTGGGTGAAAAGGAACAGATTTCATCTATCTGTCCTGCCTTCTTTTCTGCTCCATTCCGAAAGAATGGATGTGAAATATGGCCATTATGTTCCTCTTTATCCTTTGTGATGTAAATTGCTGAATAAGTATGGTTTCTCCATCTCTTTAATTTAACCTGCTTTAGTTTTCACATATATGAAAATAAGATGAGTTATTCTTTGTCAGTGTTGGCGCATTTTAAATTAATAGACAAATGTTTACTTGGAAGCCATTGGCTTTTAAAACAAATTAAAAAAGAAAGAAATGAAATCCTCTCAATGGACTTTTTCCTCTCTTAAGAGTGTTATTGATGGGAGACAATATGTTAAGTGTTTAACAAATGCCTATTGAGTGATGAATGTGTGTTAGGGGGAACTTTATTATGTTTAATATTGTTATAGTCCTAAGAATACTCATGTGAACTCTATATTCCTCCTCACACATGATTATTCAATATTTCTAAAGGGGGAAAAATACCCTGGTGAGACAAAAAAAAAAAATTCTGTTGAAACTTCTGACATATGTTTATGTGTTAGTAGCTTTGCATTTACTTCTAAAGATAACCCAAAAAACACATTACTGATGCCTGAACTTTTCTTTCACAGTAGTGAAGACTACTGTGCTCAATGGGTATTCCACTTCTATTGATAAAAAATATTTTTCTAGTATCTCCAGAATGGTCCAGTTCAGTTACGAGGGCCTAACCTCCAACAACTGGGTAAATGGATGTGCTTATTTAATGCCATGTCGTGTAATTATCATCAGCTTTGAGCTATGTTGCCTTGAATATGAATATTTTTCTACTCTTCAACAAAATATAAGTGCATATGAAATGACATGCAGAAAAGAGGTACAAAGCTTACATATCACCATCTGATGATTCCACTTTTTTTTTTTAAGATTTTATTTATTTATTTGACAGATCACAAGCAGGCAGAGAGGCAGGCAGAGAGAGAGAGAGGGGGAAGCAGGCTCCTTGCTGTGCAGAGAGCCCAATGCGGGGCTTGATCCCAGGACCCTGAGATCATGACCTGAGCTGAAGGCAGAGGCTTAACCCACTGAGCCACCCAGGTGCCCCAATTCCACTTTTTAAAAAATAGGAATTCAGAGGTATAACAATATGCTGAAGTATCTTTCATATTAGAGAGATGGTTTCAGTGTTTAAATTCATGCTGCCTTCAAAAGTAGGACATTTAAACCTCCTTCCTTTCTATCATGTCTTGACTTGAAACCTGTGTTTAGTATACAATCTCAGAAATAGGAAGGGACAATTAGGATTTAAATTAAAATGATCTGAATTATTATAAAAAGTCAACATGTTGATATACATGAAACATATTTATAAGGTCCTATATTTTCAGTCTTGGTTAGGTGTTTTCAATATGATTGGAGTTAAATAATATGTATATGAAATGTGTATTTCTAGCCACTCGTTGGATTTGGAAGATGATTCTCGATTTAACTTGTTTGATGATGGGACACTCATGATCCGAAACACTCGTGAGTCAGACCAAGGTGAATATCAGTGTATGGCCAGAAACTCAGCTGGGGAGGTCAAGACACAGAATGCCATGCTCAGATACTCCAGTCCTCCAGGTACAACTTTTTTCCCCCATAACTGAACTTAATGTAAATGCAACAGTTCTCCATCAGTTATTTGCACTAGAAAATGACTGTATCTTGCTTCTTTAAGGAATGGAATGCTTTAAAGTGAAACAGTTGTCATTGTCTATCACATTCTAATCTTTTACAGAAACTTGAGTTTTTTTTTCCTCTTGAACTTTATTTAATTTCTTGCCTTAGTTCTGTTATTTTCTAGTCACACTACGTGCTGTCCTAAGGCTGCCATTGTCCTTTTGATTATCCATCCAGCTTCCCCAGAAGATGACCCAGCATCCTCCAAGGGAATCAGTGGTAGCTAGGCAAGACTATCATCCTTTCTAACAAATCATTGAATTATTCATTCATAATTAATTCACTCAACAAATATTTATTGAATGCCCACTGAGCTAGATGTTGAAGATTATATAGTTAACAACCTATGCTCCTGTAACTTTCCAGGAGCTTTGCTTTGCCATTAGTGGCTTATATAAACCAGGCACAGAGCTGTGAAAATTTTATTTTTATTTTATTTTCAGTAGTATCATCATCAGGAAGCTGATGGAAATAGACACTATGTCTCACCTTCCCAGTCTATAGTCTATTAGGTGATACCCATAATTCAACAAAATAATAAATTTTATGATGGGTAAGGAAAGGGGATAGAAGCAGAAAGGATAGATGTGTGCTGGTAAATATCTGTTTATTTATATATATGTTTAAATATTTATTTATTTATTTATTTTAGGAAGAGGGAGCATACCTGTGCATAGGGTTGAGGTGGCAGAGGAAGGGGGAGAGTGAGAAAGAATCTCAGGTAGACTCTCCACAGAGCATAGAGCCTAATGTGGGGGCTTGATCTCATGACCCTGAAATCATGACCTGAGATGAAATCAAGAGTTGGACATTTAACCAGCTGAGCCAACCCAAATGCCCCACTGGTAAATGTTTAGAAACTGGCTCTGGGGGTGAGGGCAAAGCCCCAATTTGCAGTTTTTGCCAATGATTGACATGACATCACTGAATTTGGAATTGGGAAGAGATGTGTAGGAGCACATCATTGCATAGTATTTCTACCATGCAGACACAATAGATGTAAATAATTTCAAAACCCTAGGTCATATTAAAATGCAAAATAACTTGAAGCGGTAAATGTCAGAATTTATCATTGTTGAGATTTATTAGATTAATTAGATTTATTTAGTTGTGAGTTTATGTAATTTAATTTGTAATAATGGCAATGCTTAACAGTCAGCTTGAAAAATTCCAAAAATTTGATAACTGACTTTCCAAAGCCAGCTACCACACCTCTAACAGGAGGAGCACTTGGATCAGACTTGGAGATCTGTGTTCATTCAAAGAAGGATTTTCCAGGGCCAGTGACATCTAAGCTGAAAGCAAGAAGTAGAAAACAGCCAGATAAATAGGATAGAAACCTTGTCTTAGTAGAAAGGGCAATAAAGGTAGACAGAGCAGCACACATTCAAGACGTAGGAAGTTCTGGATATCTGGAGGATACAGATGAAGGGTTGGGAGTTATGTGAGATTTGGGGAACTGTAAGGCAGAGTTGAATCATTCATGACTGTACTCTAAGTGTTTCCAAATTAGATTTTTCTGTTATAAAGGTCTCCCAGGCAGCAGTTTGGAGGACAAGGAGAAGGACAGAGTAAGATGAGCAGGTCAGCAGGATATGGTGACGATGAAGAGGAGAGTAGTGACATTGGCAATGACAGAGGGAGTAGAGAAAGCAGCCCTGAATGAAGAGTTATGCTGGCAGAAATAATGCATTTGAGTCTGAGATTGATTGAATATGAAAATTCCTTACAGAGTTTGTCCGTAATTTCTGACTGGAAAACCCACTAGCTCTTTCCAAAGTGTCATTCACTTTGCCTTCCATGTCAAGCCTGACACTGCACACTGGAGTTTTCCTACTTTGACTTCTGGACACCATTTCCTCCTGGTCCTTTCCAAAGGTTCTCTCCTTCTCTCCAAAGGTCTTCAGGTTGCCTCAACTGTGTTATTCCTCATGCCCTCCCCACCTGCTCTTCGTCCAGTCTGCCTGCCCTAACCACATTGCTTCCTCTTCTGTTGAGATTGACATGAGTTTTAAAGCAATTCCTGAATATCCAACTTGAATAATTAATGTACATTTCAAAGATTTTATTGCTGGTATCTTTCCTGAGATTTCATCTGATTACTACCTTATTGCTCACTTTCACATGTAAATTTTGACATCCCTCAAGCACATTTGCTTGCATTTCATCTTATGTTTGCCATCACTGTTGATATCATTAGTAGTATCATTAGTAACTTCAGATTCAGCCTCCATTGCTGCTTGTCTTCATCAAATCTCTAGAAATTTGGTTCCAAGATGTATCAGATTGTCTTCCTTTTCATTTCCAATGCCATTGATTCACTTCAAAAATTTTCATACCTCAATTATTATAATAAATAGTTCTTTCCATTTTTCTATAGTACTTTACACCTTACTGTAATATATTGATTTCCAAGGTATGTCGTAGTTCTTCAGAGTATTAGTTTGTCTTCTGTCCTCATAGCTACAGCATAATCTTACAAGGAAAGGAGTGTCTTATGTGTCTTTGTATCTTTCCAACATCCAGCATATTATCTAGCTTAAGGCATTCAATATTGTTTAAAATAAACCTTGATTGTTGAATTAGATTAAATAAACTTATCTCTACTCTTAATGATATATTCATCTCAGAAATTAAGGAGGCCCCAGAATTAGACCCAATAACTAAGACTGTTAAACATCCTCATAAGTCTTTAATTTCTGCTTGAGATTTACAGAAAAGATGAAACTCTTAGGAATCAGTAAGTGGAACACCCCCTATGGAAGTCTAAAATTTGAATTTACAAGGATACCTAGTGGGTCAATTTGTATTGTATTTGTCTGAATGTGACAGAAAATTTGATGAGAAATGGCGTAAACACAGTGTGTGTGTGTGTGTGTGCGTGTGTGTGCGCCTGCGAGCACGGAAAAGTGGTTTATTCATATGCTGCAAGCAGAGCAGGAGTGTGGACAGAGCTGCCATATTGGCCCAGTGCTCCAATGATATCTTTCTATTCTTCAGTCCTTTGCATAGAGACCTTTTCTCCCCTTCATAATTGTCACATCGTGGTCCCAAGTTGGCTCTTGTAACCTAAACTCATGCCTGGATGCCAGCTCGCAAACAGGAGGAAAAGCAATGACTAGTTAGACTGCTCTTTTATTTGGGAAGGAAACTCTTCCAGGAATGAGTGCCTACATCTCATTGGCAGAACTGTGTCACATGGATGGATAACCTTGACTGCGAGAGAGTCTGAGAAGGGGATATTTTTCAGTGGGAACACTTGAACAGTTAGTCCCTAGAATAAAAAATCGGTGGGCACTAGCATCAAGGGAATCAGTCCTCAAAAAAACTGCACGTTTAGGGGCGCCTGGGTGGCTCAGTGGGTTAAGCCTCTGCCTTCGGCTCAGGTCATGATCTCAGGGTCCTGGGATGGAGCCCTGCATCGGGCTCTCTGCTCAGCAGTGAGCCTGCTTCCCCCTCTCTCTGCCTGCCTCTCTGCCTACTTGTGATCTCTCTCTCTCTCTCTCTCTCTCTCTGTCAAATAAATAAATAAAATCTTAAAAAAAAAAACTGCACGTTTATATCAAATCTAGATTTAAGACCCAGATGTTTTAGATTTAACTATTTGAGAATTTAATGTATGTATATAATATTTAGTAAAAAGGCATTTTGAAACTGACAAAAATGAAAAAACCACAATGTAGAATAAATAAATAAACCTTCTTAACTTCAAAGTGCTTGTATTTTGTTTTGTTTTTCTCTTTCCTTTAGCCAAGCCTAGTTTTATAATTCAGCCCCAGGACACAGAGGTTTTAATCGGCACCAGCACAACTTTGGAATGTATGGCCACAGGCCACCCACACCCCCATGTCACTTGGACTAGAGGCAGCGGAAAGGCCCTGGATCGATCCAGGCACCTGACTACTTCTGGAGGACTATACTTACAGAATGTCACCCTGCAGGATCACGGTCAATTTACATGTCACGCTGACAATAATCAAGGCTCTGTTCAAGCTACAGCAAACATAATTGTGCAAGGTATGGGAGCAGGGGGTCATGATTGAAATGTTCATGATGCCATATTCAGAAAATCATTTTTCAACTTAAAAAAATAATGCCATGTAAATCAGTGAAAAGATTTTTGTATTTACCATTTATTTTTGACATAATAGAATTTTCAAAACTAATCTACTTCATAATAAAACTTTTTTTTCCACTTCAGTCTTTATCCAAACGCTATAATCAACCATTTAGCAACAGAAGAGATGAAGTCATTTGGCAGCAAACTGTCAAAAGATATTTGTGCTTCAGGATACTTCACAGATATAAGAAAGACACTTCAGATATGAAAGTGAAAATGCTGTGCCCTATATTCATATTCACTTACCAAGCTGTCTACTAACATAGCTTAGGACTATGCTGATGGCTCTTACAGGCCTGGGCTGTGTAACAAAGCAGTAATAAAACTATTCTGAATACCGTAAGTAATTTATATGCTTGGGCCTGTAATCCTATTGTAAAGAACTCATGTTTTTCTGCTATGCTTTTGTTCTGAACTGGGCTGCCCCTCCCTTTCTGTTGTTGTGGTTGTGTGTGTGGGTTTAGGTGTGTGTGCACTAAACACTTCTTGCACCTTCAGAATGTAAATCTTATTGGAGCAATGCCAAAAGACCTGCTGTACCCAAAACCTTTTGTCATCAGCTGACAAGAGTACAATAATCTACAGTGATACATTTTTAAGGGCTTCCTAGAGCCATGAACATTATAATTTACTTAGGAAGCTATTTTATTTTATTATTTTATTTTATATTTATTATTATTATTATTATTATTATTTTGTTATGTTAGTCACCATACATAGTGTTAGTCACAATTGGTTTTTGATGTACTGTTCCATGATTCATTGTTGGCACATAACATCCTGTGCTCCATGCAATCTGTGCCCTCCTTAAAACCCATCACCAGGCTCACCCATTCCCCTATCACCCTCCTTTCTAAAACCCTCAGTTTGTTTCCCAGAGTCCATAGTCTCTCATGATTTGTCTCCTACTCTGACTTCCCCTTTCATTTTTTCCTTTCTTCTAATGTCCTCCATGCCATTCTTTATGTTCCACAAATAAGTGAAAACATATGATAATTGACTTTCTCTGCTTGACTTATTTCACTTAGTGTAATTTCCTCCGCTTCCATCCATGTTAATGCAAATGTTGGGTTGTCAGCCTTTCTGATGGCTGAGTAATATTCCATTGTGTATATGGATCATCTCTTCTTTATCCATTTGTCTGTTGAAGGGCATCTCAGCTCTTTCCACAGTTTGGCTATTGTGGACATTTCTGCTATGAACATTGTGATGCATATGGCCTTTCTTTTCTCTGTATCTGTATCTTTGGGGTAAATACCCAGTAGTGCAATTGCTGGGTCATAGGGTAGCTCTATTTTTGTTTAGGAAACTCCACACTGTTTTCCAAAGTGGCTGCACCAACCTGCATTCCCACCAACAGTGTAAGAGGGTTCCCCTTTCTCCACATCCTCTCCAACATTTGTGGTTTCTTGCCTTGTCAATTTTTGCCATGTGGATTTGATTTGAATTTTCCTGATAGCTAATGATGATGAACATTTTCATGTGTCTGTTAGCCATTTGTATGTCTTCTTTGGAAAAGGGTCATGTTTATGTCTTCTGCCCATGTTTTGACTTGATTTTATTTTTTGGGGGTTGTTGAGTTTGAGGAGTTCTTTATAGATCTTGGATATCAGCCCTTTGTCTGTAGTGTCATTTGTGAATATCTTCTCCCATTCCTTGGGTTGCCTCTTTGTTGACTGTTTCCTTTGCTGTGCAGAAGCTTTTTATCTTGATGGAGTCCCAAATTTCATTTTCACTTTTATTTCCTTTGCCTTTGGAGACTTGAATAGCAAGAAGTTGCTGTGGCTCTTGTGAAAGAGGTTACTGTCTATCTTGTCCTCTAGGATTTTGATAGATTTCTGTCTCATATTGAGGTCTTTTCATCCCTTTTGAGTTTATCTTTGTGTATGGTGTTAAGAGAATGGTTGGTTTTCATTCTTCTATACATAGCTGTCCAATTTTCCCAGCACCATTTATTGAAGAGACTGCCTTTTACACTGGATATTTTTTCCTGCTTTGTCGAAGATTATTTGACCAGAGCATTGAGGGTCCATATCTGGGCTCTCTACTCTGCTCCATTGATCTTTGTGTCTGTTTTTATGCCAGTACCATGCTGTCTTGGTGATCACAGCTTTGTAATATAGCTTGAAATCAGGCAACGTGATGCCCCCAGCTTTGTTTTTCTTTTTCAACATTTCCTTGGTGATTTGGGGTCTTTTCTGGTTCCATACAAATTTTAGGATTATTTGTTCCAGAGCTTTGAAAAATACCATTGGTATTTTGATTGGGATGGTGTTGGAAGTATAGATTGCTCTGGGCAGCATAGACATTTGAACAATGTTTATTTTTCTGATCCATGAGCATGGAATGTATTTCCATCTTTTTGTGTTTTCTTCAATTTCTCTCATGAGTGTTTTGTAGTTTCTAGAGTATAGATAATTTACCTCTTTGGCTAGGTATACCACGGTATCTTAATTTTTTTGGCGCTATTGTAAATGGAATCCATTCTCTAATTTCTCTTTTTAGAGTTTCATTATTAATGTATAAGAAAGCCAGTGATTTCTGTGCATTGATTTTTGTATCCTGCCACACTACTGAATTGTTGTATGAATTCTAGTAATTTGGGGATGGAGTCTTTTGGGTTTTCCACATCAAGTATCATTCATCCATGAAGAGAGAGAGTTTGACTTTGTCAATTTGAATACTTTTAATTTCTTTTTGTTGTATGATTTCTGTTGCTAGGCCTTCTAGTACTATGTTGAATGATAGTGGCGAGAGGGGGCATCCTTGTCTTGTTCCTGATCTTAAGGGAAAGGCTCTCAGCTTTTCCCATTGAGGATGATATTCACTATATTTTTTTAATAGATGTCTTTTATGGAATTGAGGAATGTTCCCTCTATCCCTATACTCTGAAGAGTTTTAATCAGGAAAGGATGCTGTATTTTGTCAAATGCTTTTTCTGCATCAATTGAGAGGACCATGTGGTTTCTTGTTCCTCTTATTTATGTGTTCTATCACATAGAATGATTCGCAAATGTTGAACCACCCTTGCATCCCAGAGATAAATCCCACTTTTTCATGGTGGATAATCCTTTAATGTACTGTTGAATTCTATCAGCTAGGATCTTGTTGAGAAATTTGGCATTAAATTCATCAGGGATATTGGTCTGTAATTCTCCTTTTTGATGGGGTGTTTGCCCGGTTTTAGGATCAAGGTAATGCTGGCCTCATAGAAAGAATCTGGAAGTTTTCCTTCTGTTTCTATTTTTTGAAATAGCTTCAGGAAAATAAGTATTATTTCTTTGGGTGTTTAGTAGAATTCCCCCAGGGAATCCATCAGGCCACAGACTCATTTTTTGCTAGGTTTTTGATCACTGCTTTAATCTCATTACTGGTTATTGGCAGGACAGCCCATTGTTTCTGGGTCTTTTCTTTGTTCAGAGTTCCTCCTCCTAGTCATTCTGTTGAGTTGTGGTTGAGGGGATATACAGCCAAAAAAATATCAACCTCTATCCAGGCAAGGTACACCCTCTTGACTGATGATCCTCTGTCCCAGTAGAGATCCAGAACTGTATAATCTTACATCTCAGGCTCATTTTATGGGTTTTCAGAGAGGCTTAGTAGATTTCTAACTAAATTTAGGAGACCAGTTAAAAAGGAGTCCCCCATTCCTCTGCCAACTTGGTGGAATTACCAGAAGTTATATTATTTTATGCATGTTCTAAAATTTTTGTTTTCTTAGGATTTTTATTTATTTATTTGAGAGTGAGAGAGAGAGAGAGGGAATAAGCTGGGGAGAGGGGCAGAGAAAGAATGGGAGAAGCAGCCTCCCTGCTTAATAAGGAGCCCAATACGGAACTCCATCTCAAGACCCTGGGATCATGACCTGAGCTGAAGGCACATGCTTAAACAACTGAGCCACCCAGGGGCTCCACGGAAACACTTTTGAAACATGGAGTTGGGGAGACTTTGGGGCTGAGTGTTGGCTTCTGGGGAGCAGAAGAATTGGCCCACTGGAAGTCACAGTACTTCATCCATCCTGGATTTTCATCATTCAGTAAATGTTTTCCAAATTGCTTTTGCTTAACATCAACTCTTTAAGTAGCAATAGATCAATAATTCATTGTTTCTATTCATACATCTGAGGAAAAAAATTGTTTCCCCTAGAAATGTTAATACCATGAAAAACATTTTTTATATGCTAAAAAAGTATAGAAATGAAATTTTTTTCTTGATGTCTTCAATAACTCCTGGGGGAAATTACTTTTAAAAGACCCAAGTATTGTTTTTAGACTTTCCATGTGTCAAGATTGAAAAATGCTTACAAAGAAATAGCATTTGGGGTGTTTTTTGCTTGCAGTTTTTTATAATGTTAGTATTTGGTGTTTAGAAGCATAATGCCTAATTTCACTCTGACAGGCTCCTTTATTTCATACCATTCTAATCTTTTGTGTCTCAGCTTCTTGTGTTTAGCTTTTACTTCTTCTATTTTTTCATCTGTATCAGTTCAAGTCTGACCAAACTCTGACATTTATGGTGCTGTTCATATCTTATACCACAATACACTAACGATTTCTTTTTACCAGGCAGTTTGTACTGAAATTGCCATCTGCTTATCTTTTGTCCCTTGCAACTGTATAGTTGGGTTACTTGTAGGTCTATGTGTTGCGATTTTTAATTGGTCTTGAAATGGTCCATTAATCATTTGATACATTTATAAAAGAGGCTCCTTTTATTTGCCTAATGCATAGACTAAATATTTTAAGATGTACCTTTTCTGTGTCATCTTAACAGATGTTCCATCAATTTTCTTTAGTTCCTTTAATGTCCATTTAAGCCAAGAACACAACTGTCCACAAATTAATTTCCTTTCCTCAACCAGCTGAACAAATGATAAAATGAAAAAGAAACAGTTTCAATGAAAGGTGTGAATCACAGTATGGGGCACTTAGATGAAAGGGCCCATAGTTACCAACAATGTAAATAAAAATCCTTTTTTGTATGAGGCATCACAGTCATGAGTTTTGTAAAAGCCACCAGAAGGGTGGATTTTAATAAAATGGCAAAACGCTTCATCTAAGCATGTGGTGTGTTAGTATTAGAGGTAGGCTTGATGGCCACCATTGTTAAGTGATAGGCCCAGAAATGTCAACTCATTATTCCTCTTGAATTCCTCTAGCTTACACTACCTGCCTTTGTGATATTTAGATCTTCTGGGTTTTCTTCCCATTGTATTAAAATTTCTTCACTGATCTAGCAAATTGACCATTTTACTGCTAGGAACAAATGTAAAATGTCTTTCATAGTTTTTGGTTGGATATAGTCTTGGATTAAAAATATCACTTTTTATGAGAACATGTAAAATATAACAATACTGCATATGAAATATAACAATGCCAGATGTGGCTAGGTGTGAGTTTTAGTTACTATTAAAAAGTTCTAGTCAAATTGCCCCAAACTTGTGCCTTCACTAAATGACTTGCCGTAACTACTACCTACTTTTGCTTTATAGCTTTTCTACTGTGTCATGAATCCATTTTTTAATGTAGAAATATTTTTGCTCACTTCAAGTTATTCCTAGCAATTTAAAAAGTTCATGCAATGTTCTGGAAAGAACATTGAGTGGCCCAAATTCTCATTGTGTCTCTAAGAATTATTCATTTCAACCACCTTCAGCCCTAATTTCTTCATCTATGGAACATGGAGCCTGAGCCTGCCGATCTGTGGGCTATTTTCACCTTGACTTTTCTAAGACTCTAGTACAAATATCTTGCAGGTATTCCTGAGGACTTTCATAAATTTTATGATCTCATAATTTAACTTTTACCATTTTTTTAGCCTAGTACCTTTTTAGAATTGAGGACTTTAAAAAGTCTTTATTATGTAAACACAATATGAAAGCTGAAACAAATACAGTTTGCCAAATACTATTTATTTTATCATGATTCTTGTAAATCCAGACAGTGAGGAAGAGGAATGAGGAGATAAGTACAGAGATCTAAGCAAGGAGAAGAGGTCAGGTCATCTCAGAAAGTTGTTTGGAAAATGTCAACACATTGCTATTATTATTGGATCGGTGGCTCCGGGAATGCAGGAGGAACAATAGAAATGACCACCAGGGCCGCCATCTTCCAGCTCGCTCCCCCACTTCCTCAACCCTTGACTCTCCCACCAAAAGGATGTATGCCCAGGTCACGTCTCCATAGGTAACCCGATACCTATGCAGGAAACAGGAGTATCAGGACCCCCCACCCCATACCCTCTGATCACCAAATACCCTATCATATATGGATGTGAGCCCATGCCCTGCCTTGGCCTGATAAAAGACCCCTGCCGACTCCCTCCCAGTGCGACTTCCCCAACTCCACTTTCCAGAGTCGTGGAACCTCGCCTGAGGGTGCCCACCTCCTCCCAGCGCGACTTTCCTGGCTCCCCTTCTCCTGAGCCCTGAAACTTTGCTGGAGAGTGCCTTTAATAAATCTTGCCTTGTGCCTACCTTGCCTGGTGTCATGTTTATCTCACCTATAAAACCTTACAGCTATCATTGGAGATCATCATGCCCTTAAACGGTCATACAGATTTCTTTTTCATATTAATAAAAGAGTCATGAATAGACTGCATAACTGTATATGCATCTATTAGCTATTTACTATTTAAACAAATTAATTGTAAAAGATCTGAAGGTTTGGAAGTCTTGAAATTTTGACTTAAATGTGAATTTTTAAAAGGTACAATAGCACGTATTACAGGAAACATTTTTTCCTGAAATTAATGAGAGCAATTGGTTGCAATTTTATCATGTATGAAAGCTTGGAGGAAACAATTTTGTTAATGGTTCAAATACAATTTTTAGTCTTATATATGTCTAATGCAGTTAGTAGATAATATATGAAGCAGAGTCCATAAGATTTAGAAATTGTTCTTTCTTACTAACTATTGCTTTTCTGCTTTGCAAACCAGAAATGTATATTTTTGGTTTCTTTGCAAGCAGACACAAACATACACAAGCAATTGTACATTCTTAATAGTTTTCATGTAAATAATTGGAAATAAATTATAATTAAGGAACATATTTAAACATATTTTCTTTTTTCCTTTACTATTAATTTACAGAATAATTTTTAATTTTGATATAAATTTTCATTCTCTTTAGCTCCTCCACAATTCACAGTAATCCCCAAGGATCAAGTGGTGCTAGAAGGACACACTGTCGAATTTCTCTGTGAAGCTGAAGGCAACCCACCTCCAATAATTGCCTGGACCAAAGCAGGTATTAGCATATGGGCAAGTAATTGTGGAAAGAGATAAATACCTTCCTTGTTAAGGGAGGAGAAAAAACAACTTAAACTAATTATCATAGTTATATCATGGACATGAAAACATCACACATGTTTGAATTAAATATGACATCATAATTTCAGGTATATGTTAAGTTTCAACATTTGAATATATAGCTTTCCTCATATAATCTCTCTGGGACTCAGTTTCCTGATTTTTTTTTTTTTTAATTTACTCATTCTCTCATGTACCTCCTTTCTGGCAACCACTAGTTTGTTCAGTTTCTTGATTTTTAAAATAAAATTATTGGACAGTTAGTGGTTTTAAGTATTTTTTAAAGTGGCAGAATTCTCTTTTAGTACAAAGTGAAATTGTAAGTGCAGTGAAACCAACCGTAAGAAAACTCTAGCATGTTAAATGGATAAAAGAGAGCTACTGTCCCCCCCGCCCTTTTTTTTTTCTTCTCTTTAAAGAATGCTTTTTGGTGGCAGAGGGTGGTGCTTGGGTAGCTCAGTAGGTTAAACATCTGCTTTAGGCTCAGGTCAAGATCCCAGGCCTGGGATCAATGCCCACCTCAGGCTCCCTGCCAGTGGGGAGTCTATTTCTTTCTCTGCCCTTCCACCCACTTGTGTGCTCTCTCTCTCTCAAATAAATAAATAAAATATTAAAAAAAATTTTAAAAAATGCTTTTTAAAAAAGATTTATTTATTTACTTGAAAGAGAAAGCACGTGAGAGAGCATGAGTTGGGGGAGGGATAGAGAGAGAGAATCTTCAAGCAGATTCCCTGCTGAGCATGGAGCCCTATATGGGTTGGATCTCACCAACTTATGAGATCATGACCTGACCCAAAACCAAGAGTCGCTGGCATAACCAAATGAGCCATCCAGGTGTCTAGAGAGCTGCTATCTTTAAAGTGTTGGGAAGGGGTGTGCGGTGTTGATCCAAGGGGCCAGGAACTTCTAGTGATCCTTGCGGTGTTAGAGAGTAGGGTCTATACTCTGAGATGAATGCTCCACTAAGACTTCTCTGGTCTTGGAATTGTTAACTTTTTTATTAGTTCAGGTAACTAGGTTAAATTCTAAACACATCAACATTTGTAAACTTCTTTTGGCTAAAATTTGTGATCTCATCTTTATAAAAGTAGAGTGGGTAGGAGGTGAACTTTGAAGCTGGAAAGCCAAGATTCACATTTCCCTCCTTCATTTACTAGTTGCATGACCTTGGGCAAGTAAGTTAACTGTGGTTTTACCAGAGTTGCTTTATCTATATTCTGGGAGTGTTGATATTGCCTACAACACTGGGTGATTGTGGGGATTATTTTGGGTGTATTTATACTCATAAACATTTAAAAGTGTATTTGGCTCCTTTGTGTAGAAAGTCAATAAAAGTTAACTGTTTACAAAGGTAAATAGATTTTTAAAATTTATTATTTATTTTTAGTTATCCATTTTTTATATTTTATTTATTAACAATAAAGGTAAGCTATTTACATTTGACAAATATTGTCACTGAAATAGTTGAGAATGACAATCCATTAACTTGTTAATGGCCACAAGGAGTGTAAACTCAGTGTAAACTCAGAGGTGATAAAGTGCAATGTTGGCTGGGTGGTTGTGACTGTGAGTGATGATTACAACCTGAGTGTCACAAAAACCACCATTCCCAAGATTCTGTCTCAGCACCTTAAATATTGTAATTCCATAATGTTTTTATATTACAAATATCACATACATGTGACAAACAAATATTATAAAGATATTTGAAAATCATATTTAGTAATCACTCTGGGGAGTAATCTAGGAATAAAAACTGTTATTTAAAAATAAAAAAATGCAAAAACAATTCTTTTGTTCTCCAAATTTTGCCTTGTTTGCACTCCATTAAGTAAAGAGTGGGGCCATGAGGCTATAGAAGTAGGTGTGTGGTTGGTTAGCCTGTGCAATGCCTCGCATTCTCCCTTAGGCATTTTATAGCTTGTTCTAAGAGTAATAGGAAGGCACCATACACAAGGGTAATGCTGGAATAAGGTTAGTTTTGAATTTGCATTCTAACTGTGGAAAATAAAATTGAGGGAGCAAATATGAAGGTGCAGGAATTCATTAAGGGAGCTGACCAGTTCTCCTGCTTGGGGGCTGGTCAAGCTGGGTCCCCCGGTTTCCAGATGCGGTGTTATGGGGGGTTCCCAGTATTGTGACACAGAGGACTTCCAGAGAGACCCCAACCTTTACCAAACACTTGAAGATCACACAGTAATAGCTGTCAGCTCTTTGAGCCATAAACAGTGCCATACAAAATATTTTGTTTCCCTCTGTGCAGGAGGGCAACTCTCTCAGGAAAGTCTACATACAGTTCTCTCCTCTGGAACTTTGAGAATTGAGCATGCAGCACATCATGACCAAGGCCAATATGAATGTCAGGCAGTGAGTCCGTTGGGAGTGAAAAAAGCATCTCTCCAGCTAACTGTAAAACCCAAAGGTAATGTGTGCTGTGATTGGATTTACACAATTGAAGAGTGCCTCTTTATGTGTCTTTCACACCTCCCTGGGTGACTTTATTACTTACTTAGTTTTTTATTTTATAGGATCTAAGAAATTGCAAATTTTATAACTCTCTTCCAATAAGTCTTTTTTTTTCAACTTGAGGATTTTATTTCTATTAATGTTAATTATTAATATCATGTTTTCTTCCAAAAAATATCATTTTGTGTTTTCTTACATTTTTTTCAGAACTAGTTAATTAGCCTTACCTGCAGAGACTAGTTCACAGAAAGATAAATTTCTCACACCTGATCACTTGAATTTTGGTCTTATATTGATATATCTTTTATGCTGAGGGTTATTGGGAATATACTGCAGACACTTTTCTCCACACTCATCATGAAATACAGTACTTTGGTTTATCATAAATAGTAATATTCTGGTATGAGGTTGGGTTATTTGTCCATAATATATCATTAACTGACATGTAAAAAAAAGAAAAAAAAAAGAAAGAAAGAAAACTCAAGGTTTAAATTTTTAAAGAAAGTTCCAATGTAAGGATGAAAAATGGTTGTTATTAGGTACTCTTGAAATTTCTTCTTAGTTACTGGTTTATGTTATATATATATATATATATATATATATATATATATATATATAATGCCTAAACTGAATTTTTAGGATTGTTTTGCATTTAAAGATAATTTCCTAGATTTCTCCATAAATTTGCTGCAATTTATTTTGATGTAGTAGATCTAAATTCATCAGTAACACATATTTAGATAAGAGCATATAAAATATAGAGACAAAGATCAGCCAGATGTAGCAATATAAATGTAAAAAGAAATACTAGTAATTTTGAAATATTCAGTGATGCTGAGACATAGACATAAGATTACACTGAACTAATATCTATGTACAATCCAGTATTGATTCTTTTCTCACTATACTTTTAACATATCAAGTGCTTGTTATTATTTATTTACTTGATCAAGTTAAGGTTCTATGAAGAGGGAAAGTAGTCAAGTAGCAGCTGAAATGCATGGCAAGATTTGAAAAAAACTTGAAAGTTAAAGGGAACTGTCATGCTCTTGGAAAACCCATATCTTTGGGTCATTCTTTCTAAAAGGAAAGGCTGAAATCTGCTCTGCAGAATGTTTAAAATTGCTTTTGAATTAGTTTTCAACTAATTCAACTAATTTAAAAATCAGGAGGTTTTTTCATTAATATCTTTTTTTTAAGATTTATTTATTCATTTGAAAGTGGCAGAGAGAGTGGGAGAGAGAGAATGCTGGGGTGTGGTGCAGAGGGAGAGAGAGAAACTCAAGCAGACTCTACACTGGGCATGGAGCCTGACTTGGGGCTTGATTTCACAACCCTGAAATCATGACCTGAGCCCAAACCAAGAGTCAGATATTCAACTGACTGCACCACCCAGGCACCCCTACATTAATACTTTTTTAAAAAGGAGGGCATATTAAACCAACATATTGTAGCCAAATAAAATATAGCATGATGATGCTGAAGTTAATGGTCTTAGTTTTGTCCTCTTTTTGCTCCATTGTTACATCTTTACACCAGTGTCCCCCACTGACCCTCTAGATCTCAATTTAGAAGCATGCCTCTTCCCCAAGGAGGGTTCCTTTCCTCCACTCTGTAGGCTTTATAAGATGCTACTGTTGAAATTAGTATTAGAATGTGCCATTCAATCTGATAGTTGACAAATGTGGAGGAATTTGATAAATTTATCAAATATCCATAGTTAAAATATTATTAGCAATAAGCACAAATGTGGAAACAAATAAGTTATTTTAGCAAACATAGAGCCCTACATGTTGAACATGAACTATGTGAATGGAGTGGGGAAGAGGGCCATAGGGAAGAAATAGTTGGGATTGTTGGTTGAGTTAGAATATATCATACCTTGACTATAGGCCATGGAACTTTCCATTTGTTGGCCAGATATATTATGTAAGATAGTAATCAGCCCAAAATGAACAGGCAAATGTTGAGGTGAAGAAACTCTAAAAATAAACCATTAACTCTATTATATAGCTGAGTGATATACTAGGTGACCTGAACATCTATGACTGGGGGAATGGAGGAGTTAATGAATTCAAGTAAACATATAACAGGTGGAACCATTTTATCTCTGAAATTATTAACAATATTTTTTACTAGCACCCCTGACAATATTTTGCAGGCCAAATTTTGTGTGTACTGAAGTGTACAAGAACTTTTCATGGGGTTTTTGGGTTAAAACAATCTCATAATAATATCAAGATCTTGTTTGCCTTTTCTACTAGGTTGACATTTGCCTTGATGGTACCAAGATAATGGTGGATAAAGGTGCTGAACCTTAGCATGAATCAAAGCAGTGGCACCAAATTGTACTAGTAATTCATATATTATTCCCTTGTAGTGTGGGAAAAAAAAAGTAATTTTGTTTACAATGTTACTGATAAAATGGGGAAAATACTACTTTTATTAAATCTTGACTCTCTGGTAGATGTGTCATGAAAGAAATTGGCAAAAGAAGCTATCAGTTGTCAAATTTTGATGTAGTATCAAAGATTTTTCACAATTACCTGGAAAAACTTTTAAAATATCCCTACATTTTGCGAATACTTATCTTTGTGAGGCCATTTTTTATTCATATACTTCAACTAAAATGACCAATAGCAAGAGATTGAACTGAAAAGCAGTTATGCAATTATTGGGATTTGCAAAAGTGTAGAACAATATGCTACTCCACTCACTACTTTTATTTTTGGAAAATTAATTAATGCTCATAAAATTGTATTATTTATTTGAAAATTGTATGAGTTTATAGCTGTAATTTTTGAATAGGTAAAATTTAAAGTTCTCAGATTTAATTTCTAATATAGTGAACATAGATACATATAATCAACATAAATAAAAGTTCTTGGAGCTTCTCAATAATTTTTAAGTGTAGTGCTCCTGAAGTTAATGTGTTTGAGTAATATCATTTGTTGGATCTTCTTTGCCTGATTTCTAGATCTTTAATTTTCTTTTTAATCTCTTTAAACTCTTTGTTGCCACCTCATTTTACTTGCCTTTCTCATGTCTACCCTTTATGTCCTTTGCTGTGTTATGAACAATGTATATTCACTCCAGAGATGATTCTAACTTTTATTAGCTATGCAATAATTTTATTTTTTCCTCTAATATTTTGCTCAAGCATATGCAAATATATATACAAACATTGGATGAAGCTAGTAATTTTATAGAAACATATTTAATTAAAACAAACTTCAGAAGAGATAGAAATATAAACAGAAAATAGTAAGGGAGAAAAAAGTTACTGAAGAACACAGGAGTACAGATAGCTGGCTGTTACTCTCTAGCATAGCTGAATAGACTGATAATTATTCTGAATATTAAATTTGTGAAAGAGCTCTCTCCACTAAGAGCATGTGGCCATGTGGTATCCCAAGGAAAAGCATCACATCTATAAATAACAAAAATTCTGATGCTATTCATGTTGTTTCAGGAATTAGAAAATAATAAACACACTAAGAATATTTTTAGTAAAACAAATCTAAGCTTGATAAAAAAACCTAAGGAGGAGGAGTCAAGATGGCAGAGAAGTAGCAGGCTGAGACTACTTCAGGTAGCAGGAGATCAGCTAGATAGCTTATCTAAAGATTGCAAACACCTAGAAATCCAATGGGAGATTGAAGAGAAGAAGAACAGCAATTCTAGAAACAGAAAATCAACCACTTTCTGAAAGGTAGGACTGGTGGAGAAGTGAATCCAAAGCGACGGGCAGATAGACCGTGGGGGGAGAGGCCGGGTCCCGGCAAGTGGTGGAGCAACGGAGCACAAAATCAGGACTTTTAAAAGTCTGTTCCGCTGAGGGACATCGCTCCAGAGGCTTAACCGGAGTGAAGCCCACGCGGGGTCAGCGTGGCCTCAGGTCCCGCAGGGTCATAGAAGGATCGGGGGTGTCTGAGTGTCGCAGAGCTCACAGGTATTAGAACAGGAAAGCCAGCTACAGAGACTGAGCCGAGGAATGAGCTCTCAGCTTGGGGTTACCTTGAACCGGTTGCAGGCTTGGTCAGCTCGGAGCGCAGCCAGAGGCCAGGGTGACGGGAGTAATTGGGCGCTGTTCTCTGAGGGCACACTGAGGAGTGGGGCCCCGGGCTCTCAGCTCCTCCTGGCCGAAGACTGGGAGGCCGCCATCTTCATTCCTGTCCTCCGGAACTCTACAGAAAGTGCTCAGGGAACAAAAGCTCCCAAAAGCAAACCCAAGCTGATTACTCAGCCCAGGCCCTGGTAAGGGTGGTGCGATTCCGCCTGGGGCAAAGACACTTGAGAATCACTACAACAGGCCCCTCCCCCAGAAGATCAACAAGAAATCCAGGCAGGACTAAGTTCACCTACCAAGGAGTGCAGTTTCAAAACCAAGGAGAGCAGCAGAATTCTAGAGGAGAAAGCAAAGCACGGAGCTCACGGCTTTCTCCCCATGATTTTTTAGCCTTGCAGTTAATTTAATTTTTTTTCTTTTTCAATTTATTTTTATCTTCTTCTGCCAATTTTTTTTAACTTTTACCCTTTTCTTTTTTAACGTTTTTTAACTAGTTTATCTAATATATATATATTTTTTCTTTTTTATATTTTTTCTTTATTCGTTTTCTTTTTTTAATTTTTTTTTTTCTTTCTGAACCTCTTTTTATCCCCTTTCTCCCCCCTCACGATTTGGAATCTCTTCTGATTTGGTTAAAGCATATTTTCCTGGGGTTGTTGCCACCCTTTTAGTATTTTACTTGCTCCTTCATATACTCTTATCTGGACAAAATGACTAGGCGGAAAAATTCACCACAAAAAAAAGAACAAGAGGCAGTACCAAAGGCTAGGGACCTAATCAATACAGACGTTGGTAATATGTCAGATCCAGAGTTCAGAATGATGATTCTCAAGGTTCTAGCCGGGCTCGAAAAAGGCATGGAAGATATTAGAGAAACCCTCTCGGGA